CATCAAGTAATCCACAAAAAAGCGACTACAACTGTTACAATCTGCTCAACCTTTATAAATAACAATAAAATCATTAAGGGTTCTCAAGAACTAAGATTCACTTTCATCCACCTACTCACTGTTGCATTAAAAAAATATATAGAAACATTACAAAAAAAAAAAAAAAAAAAAAAAAAAAAAAAAAAAAAAAAAAAAAAAAAACAGAATTAGATTAGTCGGGGAGATTCGACTGACACCGTCGCGGAGAGTCACGCTATAGCTATGAGAATGGGGGAAACAGGCCGGCGCATTTACACTAAACTTTTCTATCATGTAGCGGGCCGCAAAATAATAATAATAATAATAATAATAAAGTTCATTTCAAAAACACGCTTCATCCCCAAAGGCTCGAAGCGCGGTACAAAGTCAACAAAAAACAAATCTATAATTTACCACATTTAAAACAAACGCAACACTACACAAAATAATTACAAGCATACAATGTCAAAGTCTTTCAACCCATTTCAACCGTGAGCAACACAGCTAATATGCATTAAATGGAAAATATGGTAGACAATCATCGTCTTGCGGGTAACAAATTGCTCGCGGACCGCGAGTTTGAGACCCCTACATTAGATGTTTATTTATTAATATTCACAATTATCTCATTTTTATAAAAAGAATGTAAATATTTATACTTTCCCACATCATTTTCGATGTATGCAAAATGTATGCGGGAACGAATTTCAAAATATCTAAATATTTCATTTTCGGTTCCGGCTTCGGTTTCGGCCTAAATTCACTTTTAACTTTCGGCCTTTTTTCGGTTTCGGCCGAAAGTCATTTTTAAACTTTCGGCCTCTTTTCGGTTTCGGCTGAAAGTCATTTTAAACTTTCGGCCTATTTTCGGCTTCGGCCGAAATCAGAAAATCACTTTCGGTCGGCCTCTAATCTTAACCCTAACCCTAACACGTACCCTAACCCTAACCCTAACCTAACTAACCCTAACCCTAAACATACCTCTACCCCTAACTCGTTAATCCATATACATTTACATCACTAACCCTAACCCTTACCTTAACCCTAACCCTAACCAGTACCCTAACCCTAACCCTAACCCTAACCTAATAAACCCTAAGCCTAACCCTAAACCTAACCCTAACTCGTTAATCCATATACATTTACAACTCTAACCCTAACCTTATCCCTAACCCTACTCAGTACCCTAACCCTAACCCTAAGCCTAACCCTAAACTAATTAACCCTAATCCTAAACCGAACCCTAACTCGTTAATCAATATACATTTACAATCCTAACACTATCCCTAACATTAACACGTTAATTCCTATACATTTACTACCTTAACCCTAACCCTAACCTAATTAACACTCACCATAAGCCTAACCCTAACCTAACTAACCCTAACCCTAAACCTAACCCTAACTCGTTAATCCATATACATTTACAACACTAACCCTAACCTTAACCCTAAACTTAACCCTAACCCTAACCAGTACCCTAACCCTAACCCTAACCCTAACCTAACTAACCCTAACCCCTAACCCTAAACCTAACCCTAAATCGTTAATCCATATACATTTACAATCCTAACACTAACCCTAACCCTTACACGTTAATCCATATACATTTACAACCCTAACCCTAACCTTAACCCTAACCCTAACCTTAACCCTAACCCTAACCTAACTAACCCTAACCCTAACCCTAACACGTTAATACATGTACATTTACAACCCTAACCCTAACCCTAACCCTAACCCTAACCCGTACCCTAACCCTAACCTAACTAAACCTAACCCTAATCTTAACCCTAACCCTAACCCGTACCCTAACCCTAACCCTAACCTAACTAACCCTAACCCTAAACCTACCCATACCCCTAACTCGTTAATCCATATACATTTACAACACTAACCCTAACCCTTACCTTAACCCTAACCCTAACCAGTACCCTAACCCTAACCCTTACCCTAACCTAATAAACCCTAACCCTAACCCTAAACCTAACCCTAACTCGTTAATCCATATACATTTACGACCCTAACCCTAACCCTAACCCTAACACGTAAATCCATATACATTTACAACCCTAACCCTTACCTTAACCCTAACCCTAATACGTTAATCCATATACATTAAAACCCTAACCCTAACACGTTAATCCATATACATTTACCTTCTGAATTTTTTAAATATCCATTTTCATTCGTTTCTTTAATTAATCATGTTGTATGATTGACAAGACGTGAATAAAAAGAAACCAGTTATTATAATTTACAATGTCAACTTATTTTTAAAATTGCTAAAAAATATAAAAACACATACAACTCATAAAAACAATTAAAAGTGATAAAAACAATTAAAACAAAACACATAAGACATATAAAATACATAAGACATATAACACATAAGACATATACAATACATACGACCTATAAAACACATATGTCATATAAAACCAATAAAACATATAAATCACACTAAACATATTAAGCACATAAAAACATATCGCCAATGACAATTAACAAAAATACTTCAATGCCATTCTTATCACTGAGACTTTACACGTCAATGGTTCCGCTGCCCCCCCCCCCCAAAAAAAAAACAACCTTGACACCGACTCTGATATCAGCCATGCTATCTATCGTCTCGTATAAATATAAGTTCATCACAGCCGAGGTCGTGGTTTCATCTCCAGAAAATTCGAACGACGATGTATGTGCACGTAGTCGCCAAATTGGTCCTACTGTCTCTTACGTCAGCGGGTACGTACAGTCTTCCGTTTAGTTTAATTGATCGCCATTCCCAGTTGTGAGAAATGAATACAACCCAATAGATAGCAACAATGTTATAATCTATTGAAGTTACGCCAAGTAGAAACCGAAGGATCATACAACAAATATTTACTGTTGTATGTTTTTTTTCTTTAAACATAATGTTCAGTCCCAAAGTATATGAGCATAATTAAACGTCAGAATCCATTCATTTTTGAAAATTAAATAAAGTAAACATAGTGAACTACTTTATCAAACAAAATAACTTAATTTAACATAAAATTACATAAACATAATTCATAAACGATTCGTGCATGAATACATTCAAAAGCTGGTTGACATTACAGTTACTATGATCTAATGTCCACAAAAAAAAAAAAAACAGTCTCAGGAATTCAGTTTTCTGTACAGCCTACAACGATAGAAATTGGACTAACACCCAGGCTGGACGTCCGATGCTCCCTGAGTCACGGAGTCGACACCGAGTTGGCCAGTCTGGTCTCGCTCTTCATATCCCGCTCTCCTGACACGGACACCCTCAACTTCCAGGAGATAGCCTCCATCAACACGTTCTCCGGTAATGTGAGTAACGTTCTTCACAGCGGCGCGGCGGTGTCCGGCTTCATTAACAATGCCGGTCAGTCCTCCCTGAGCATGCACTGGACGTATCCAAGCTTGCAGGAAGCTGGCATCTACAAATGCGTGGCCAACGGCGTGGACGGAGCCGGGCATTCCCTGAGCGTGGCGTCGTCCAGTGTCGTTGCGATCGAGCAGCCCAGCATGAGCCAGGTGGTTGATGAGCTCCGCAAAATGAAACTGAACATCGACAACGCCTTAGCAAACTCTTGTATATCAGGTAACTGATTTTGATATGTTACAGAAACAATCGTATGGCAGAGCTTAGCTTACAACCTATCTGCCTTTTTCTTTAGATCCAATTATCTCTATATGGTGTATAGGTCATTGAGAGATTATTTCAATATTAATTATCTGTGCTGAGCTATTCTTTCCATCAGATCATTCCCATTTGGTGCATTTCTCCCACTTTTCTGCCCAGGTCCCTCCTACAACATGTAATGTTCCATGGCCTCCATCTGTTTTTATTTTCTTGTGAATCTTGGCAGAGATTGTGTTGTTATATAATGGAATTTAGGTTTCACCGGTATGGCCAGTCCATTTCAATTTCCTTTCCCATTTAAAATCTTACTTGTAATCTTTACATATTATTTATTGTTTAAGATCTTGCACAAACATCCGTCGATAATAAGCATCTTATCATTGCTAAGGTAATTAATGAAAGTTATGAAGTTTAAAATTGTATCGTTTTAAATTTAGACTAACTGCATGCATCAAATAGCCTGTCTTACAATCTTATTTGATGCCCTCAGGTTGCTGGCACAGTCGACTAGAACAGATGAAGAAGGCGAGGTTTGAGATCTCATCTCTGTACCAAGGTCACCGGTATCTCCTGTCGCTGAACGACAACGGGCTGTCCGCTTGGTCGGCCGAGGAATCGTGTGAGCTGTACGGGGGCTACCTGGCTGAGGTCGACGACGACCCTGAGCTGCAGTTCATGCAAGGCTTCATCAGGGCGCACAGCACTGCCGGCCACAAGATGGTCTTGATCGGAGGGAGACACACGACGGGGGGTTGGGCGTTCAGCCGGAGTGGTCAGCCGTTGACCTTCACGAAGTGGAGTCACGGGATGCCGGACGGGAAGTTCAACTGTCTCTACCTGTGGTCGGGTAGCGGGTGGTTGATGTACGACCTGGCCTGTTTGCTCGTTGACGTGACCTACTACCCCAGATACCTTTGCGAGGTGCCAGAGGTTTGAACAGAACAGAGCTATTTAAAATATAAACTATATAAATAAAATACTTTTTAAAAACAAAATAAGTTTTCCTACATTCATTCCGCTTAAAAGTACACACACTTTCGCTGTCTAATAAAACGATAATAAATGTGCAGTCTAGTTAATTCATAAATAAACAATCAACATGTTATTTTGTATAGCAAATACAGGGTGGGCCAATAAAAGTGAGAACATCTCATAAAATATTACGCTACGAGATGTTCTCACTGTTATTGGCCCACCTTGTGGCTAATTTATTTAAAACATATGGATAAAATATATCTTTGTTTCTTTGAGTAAAAACTAGTTTAAATCGCTACAAGTCACCTGTAAGATTAGAAATGTTCAACTTATAATAGTTATAAAATGTGAAAAGTACAAGAATATATGTAGCATTTCATCAAACTAATAGATCCATATGACCTGAGAATCGGCCCATTTTTTTCCCATGTGTATTTTGTCATGCTCAGATCGCCTAAAACGTTGTCTTGTCTCGACTACATTTCAACTAACTAGCTTCCACAGATAGATTGTGTGCTTTAAAATCCTTAAGAAATTTTTCTGCCCAACACTTGAACTAGTCTAAATATGCTATCAGTTTCATCTTGCCGTGAGTTACTTCAACAGCAAGTAATTGGTCTTTAGATTAAATGGACTATTTGGAGGAATTGTTTTAATAATTAACAGCTTAGAGTTTTCACAAAGACAGAGTGATTTTAAAAAAAAAATCTTCTATCCGTTTCAAAGACTTGTTTCCTTTCAGCTCACAGCTAAAATGGTACACTAACCATGTTAAAAAGAAACAACAGATTAAAAACTTACTTGAATAATGCGCCCAAGACAAGCTACCCGAATCATACATCATGAAAGTTCTATTATCTCCTTTAAGACCCCAGTTAAGGTATGTGAAACAACTCAGCACACTTGAGGTTAAAAATTGTGCTGGAGATTTGTCTGATATTATAACACATCAGTCAGATTCAATAGAAAGAATTTTAAAGAGCCCATTATGGAAAAAAATGTGTCAAAATTATCAGGTTGTGTGTACATAACCATTGGGTGTCCCATGCATGGGTAACAAAGTCCACAATGCACTTATCGAATTTTGATGTTTCCCATTTTTTTTATATTTTTACTCAAGTCTCCACCTTTCTCAAGAACAAGAGCCTCATGTGTCTCAAAATCCCTTTAACTCAAATGTTTAACTAATAGGTGCTTAATGTGACTAAAAATTATATTCATTCGTATTACTCAATTGCCTAAGTCAGTTCCACAAGACTTTTTAACCAAGGCTGGGGAAGCACCCGGATTAATTAAATTTCACTACCCAAGTTTGCAAGTTTTTAAACGCGACCACTGCGTAAAAAAGGGAGGAGGGACAACCTCGGTGCTTAAGTCAAACGTTATCTCTCCCCCCTGGTCATGTTGACTCAGTTATCTTGTACAGTCCAAAGCACAATTTTCACTATCTGCTCATTCAGCTGGATTATGCACTATTTTCTTATGACAAGTTGGAGACGATATATTTAAGAAATAGATTAGGGGGGGGGGGCATTCAAGTAATAGGGGAAAACTTGATTCTTGTCATAGACAAAAAAAAAAATCCTTATCAGTAGCTCGACCCGTCCCTTTTGTTGGAGTCGCTAAAAAATGAAGGTTATTGCATTCTGATCTACCTTAGGGTCAGGGTTAGTGTTGTAAATGTATATGGATTAACGTGTTAGGGTTAGGGTTAGGGTTGTAAATGTCTATGGATGACACACCTTTAAAAAAAAATCAAATTTATAGATAATTATAAACAGTCAGAACCTTTAATACTAGGTACCTGTGCGAGTTACCCGATCAAGGACAACAAAACACACACACTTAAGAATATGAAAAGAAGTATCGTTAACAGTTTCTTTTTTTGGTCTGGTAACTATATTTCTAAAAAAAATTCTCGAAGTTAAATATTTATTTTTATAATTAATTGAATTAGTTGTTATTCGACCCCACCCCAATAATGATGCAGCATTTAAAAAATTAAGACACATATCTTTTTAAAGCGTTTACAGCTTTGATTTCAGAATTTTGTTTCTTTCAAAATTCTTCTGTATTTATTTTTTTTTTAATCTTCGTTCATCTAGTCATACATTTTTCAATTATTATTTCATTTTAAAATGTTGCCCTTCCATACACACTGACTTAATAATGTTGATATTGACCATCTCTGAATTATGTAGATTTGCTTTGTATGAAAATATGGAACCAGAAAAAAAATAATGTGTTACAATTTAGGTGATATTTAACCCACTCACTCGTTCCATTCAATAGCATATTTTGTAGATATGCTAATTCCCCCTTGTACTTACTTAAATATATCGTCCTTATTTTAAAAAAAAATATTTTTGAAACTTGTAAATGATGTGTATGGACAATAGCTTGTGTTTACTAATGTGCAATAATTTAAATTGTGTTATCAGAGGAGGCGCTGTCTCAAAGTTTTTTTTTTTTTTTAGGAACAAGATAAATTAGATTTATTTCAAGGTGTTTAACATTATCAACTTTTAATTTTACAAGCAGGTCAAAATCCAATTTTAATAACGTCCAAAATACTGTTTGTTCTTTTTCTTCTTGTAAAAAAATCTTAAGGTGCTGTCATCTGATTAACGCTACTAACACGACAAAAGTTTACTGGTTGACTTTGTCTTTGTTCAAACTTACTTAGATGATGACTAAAAAACCGTCCACAGCTCTAAGCATCTTGGATAGCTGTGTCTAACAAGCCTTCCGCATCTCTAAACATCTTGAACAGCTGTGTCTAACAAACCTTCGACATCTCTAAACATCTTGAACAGCTGTGTCTAACAAACCTTCCACAGCTCTAAACAACTTTGGCAGCTGTGTCTAACCAACCTTCTACAGCTCTAAACATCTTAAACAGTTGTTTCTAACAAACCTTCCACATCTATAAACATCGTGGGCAACTGTGTCTAACAAACCTTTCACAGCTCTAAACATCTTGGACACCTGTGTTTAACAAAAACTTCCACATCTCTAAACATCTTGGGCAACTGTGTCTAACAAACCTTCCACATCTCTAAACATCTTGGGCAACTGTGTCTAACAAACCTCCCACAGCTCTAAACATCTTGGACAGCTGTCTCTAACAAACCTTCGCTAGCTCTAAACATCTTGGGCAACTGTGTCTAACAAACCTTTCACAGCTCATTCACCAAGTGGATCATTCACCAAGTGAATCATTCACCAAGTGGACCATTTAAAAGTGGACCATTCACCAAGTGGATCTTTCAAAAAGTGGACCATTCACCAAGTGGATCATTCACCACGTGGACCATTTAAAAGCGGATCATTCACCAAGTGGATCATTCACCAAGTGGACCATTTAAAAGTGGATCATTCACCAAGTGGACCATTCAATAAGCGACCTTTGAAGTGGACAATATACACAGTTGGACATTCCTATAGTGAACTATTCACCATGGGGATCATAACTGTTATACTCATACTTTGAAAAAGGTGGAATAATTCCGAGCAGACTGTACTTGATGCCAAACAATAAATGAACACTATTTCTATGCATTGTCTTAATATAAATTATAACAATGAAATAAAATGAATATTTTGTGCATATAAAACCTCTTTTCTCGTATCTCTACGGGTAAGAAAGCAAAATTATTAAATACAAAAGCATATTTTCACAAATCCTAGTGTATTTTAATAACATTAGATCAGTTGAAAATTGTGTGCCACAATTGTACCTTATTTCATTAAAAAAATGGTTCCTTTAAAAACACCCAACCGTTTTGATATATTTGTTTCGTTTCCATGTTTACCACCGTGTACATTTACTAGTAACAGTATTCATGTATTGATATGATTTCAATTTCTTATCGATAACTGCTGGCGGGTTCACTAAGAATGAAGGTGGTTGCTTCCATTTTCAATACTTATATATTGTGTTAATTATGTATTTAGAAAAAAAACAATAAAAAAAACCATTTTATTCATGATTTTATAATTATCATAATCTCCATGGCACTTGAGGGGGTGAAAATAAAACAGAACCTTGTCACATCTGTTGTCATCTTTACGGGTCACATTCCAGATAAAAAAAAATAATTAGAAATTGTTATAAAAAACATATATTTTGAACATTTCTTTAGAAAACAGACAGTGTCATTTGACAGTCCATTAATATATCTTTTTACACCTTGCCAGGCGCAGATGGCCTTTAGCTTTGTATGGTCTTTACTAAAACCTCAGGCTTGCTAGTTTCCAATGATGGATTTTGTACTTTAATTTTCTTAATGGTGTTCGCTGTTCAACACTTCGATTTGTAAAATGTGTTCTCAATGTTACCTTGCCACGAATGACTTCACCAGGAAATAATGGCTGTCTAAACTGTATTGAGTAGTTGGGGGGAATTATTTTAATAATTTGGGGTTTAAAAGTGTCAAAACGATAGAATGAAATATTTATTTAAGAAATTTTCTATTCACGTCAAAGACCTTTTCCCTCCCACTGAATGATGACGCCAAGACATGCCATTGAAATCATACATCAGTACAAATCTAAAATCTTTTAAAGGTTCCATTTCAGAAAATTGTAAAAAAAACTCAGGTCTTGTGTGTGTTTGTGTGCTATGGAATAATACATACATGACATTCAAACCAAAGAATTATCAAACTTTTGAAGAGCTCGTCGTGGAAATAATGTGTCAAAATGATCATTGGGTGCGTGCAAAACAATTATGTGCCCTGCGCACGGGAAAGATCCCACCCCCCCCCTTTTTTTCAATATAATTTTGCTTCTGTACACTTATCGGCTATATATATATATTATTATTATTATATTCCCCCTCCCCCAAGAAAACTTGCCTCACCTTCCCTAAAGAAACTCTGTTCCACCCAAAATATTCACTCACAGCTGCTTGACTTGCATTACAATTATATTTAAAACCGAGCATTCATGTGAGCTGCCTCACTGAGTTAAGTCCGTTCCACAAGCCTTCTCAAACCAAGGCTAAGAGACTGACCTGGGCGCAACGTTAAATTTGCAACATTATTTTGTACGGTGTTAAATGCCAGCGCTGAGTCAAGGGAGGAAAAACTTGTTGATTTAGTCCAGTTTTTTTTAAATTTGTTCCCTGGAAATGTTGACTCAGTTATCTTGTAGTCCAAAGCACAGTTGTCACAATCTGTTTTTTTCCCCCTGCTGGATTGTTCATTACTCCCCTATGACAAGTTGGACCGAATAGTTTACACACCCATGAGGAGGACGTTTAACTTTATTCACTTAATTCTTGCCACCACTACCCCCAACCCTCCACAAAAAAAGCAAAAACTTTATCTATAACTGGTCCTATGACTTTGTTGTTGTAGAATAAAATGAAGGTTATTGCAATCTGATTTACCTGGCATGACAGGTAACACTTGAAAAATGTTTACACATGTAAAACACACTCTTCATATTTACATATTTAAATATAAATCCCCAAGCAAAAAAGAATTTTAATGTCTGTCATTTGTTTCTGTGTACACTGTCATAGAAAAAGTTACTGATAACACGTTTTGTCGTGTAGTATAAAAAGCTGTTTAACAGCGGACAGCCGCAAATTTGACAACCATGGCTGGCTTACCCTTAAACACAATAGCTTTGCTAATTCTTACCGCATCAGGTATTTTTTAAAATAATTTATTTATATTGAATAAAAATATGTTTTTAATGTATTAATGTTTTTTTTTTTTGTGCAACTTTCGTTACTTTTTGTGTTAAAAACTGAAACGGGCGAGACGTTATCGAAACAAATACTTTTTACCCCCAGTGTGATTTTATGCAAAATTCACTAGCGTCGTACCACCTGACTTAAGGATTCCTTAGGTAACGTTTGATTAAAATTCATTCAGCCTTACGACTCCTATAGAAAAATTAAAAATTAAATTTCAAGTCTACCGTCTAGGAAATTTGCTTTTCACTGAAAATTAAATGATACATGGGGGAAAAATGCAAGGAAGACAGCAAAATAAAAGGTATCGTGCAGAGCAACATAAATTTCATTATTACCCGGGAACAACTGGCAACAACTTCTAATACGTGATAGAAATTAAATATTAAAAAATATACTATTTCCTTATGAAAATAAAGAAGAAAGGAGAACTTGTTGATGAAATCATATCTTAACTAGAAATGTAAATGATTTTTTCTTGGTCTAAAACTGTGTTTAAATTCTCAGCTACCGGTATTCAGTTCAATGTTCAACCAACAAGGATTGAAATCGGACTCTCTAACCGATTTACTATCTTCTGTTCTTTCAACCATGGAACTGACCCTGAGATGTCCAGCTTGGTCTCGCTCTTCATATCTCGTGCTCAAGACACAGCAAACGTGGATTTTCATGAGATCGCGTCCATCAACACATTTTCTGGTAACGTCAGCAACATGATCCACAACAACGCTACCATTTCCGGCGTCATCAACAACCTCGGGGTGTCATTTCTGAGCATGGAGTGGAAGTTCCCAGACGATCAGGTGTCGGGTCTCTACAAATGTGTCGCTAACGGCGTTGACGGTACAGGACACCCCATAAGTGTCATGTCTACAAGCCTAGTTACAAGTGAGATGCCCGATACCAAACAGTTGGTGCAAGTAGTCCGCAATCTCATGATCAACATGGACTACGCTTTAGAAAACACGTGCATATCAGGTATGGAAAATGTAGTAATTTAATCATCAATATATCTCAGTTAACTCTTTTACTTTAAGATTTAAGTTCAATTGATTCAGACATATTTCGAATAGTCAAAATATACTTATGTATTACTGGTAAATATCAGTTAAGGTTTTTAAGTAAAATAAAAATTTGAACTTAAATTAAAATCAAGCGTCAGCGGCGTATTTAGTTAGGGTAGCGCACAACAACACACTCACTGTTTTAGGTCATGTACTAAGCGTCGCCCGTAGGTTTTGGACGAGCCCGAACAGACACTGCGATTTCTTCTGATCCGCTCCGTAACTATACAATTAGGTAATTCCTGGGTTTCGAGATGAACCGTTACGGGCCAGGAAGCTATTCCCTGTGAGGATTTTACAACCCAGATCGCGACAAGAAGTAATTTGAACAGACTAAGGGGAAAGCAAAACACGAGTTATGAGTGGTCGTACCGCCCTAGCTATACATGTGAAGGAAAATTTAGTCAGTTTCATCCCCGATTACTGGTTTATAGGATTACACCAGGAAATGGTATAGTAGTCGATTTCCTAATAGTTTACTTTTTGATAGGGTCGAGGTGAAAAAAAAGATTTTGTAGTAAACTTCCTTGATGTTTACTGTTAGATGAGAGTAGTTCAGGATTATGTGCGTGTAACTATTGAGTAGAGCTGAAATTTTATTCCATGTTAATAAAGTCTGATTTGCCCGATTACGATGATGTGGCAAAATCAATTTACTAAATTTTCATTAAAGAATGTTCAAATGTACTCACAAATCCACTAGAAGACGTAGTTTGACAGTTCCATTCTTGTACTTTACTTTCTCAACTGGTGTATTTGTTTATACTTCACCACTATAAAGTGTGGTATAAAACTAGATAAGACTTAATAACGTACTGGCCGTTCATTGCATTCAATTCCAATATTTTTATGTTTAATTTTTAAAATAATGTAACGTCTCCAGGTTGTTGGCAGGGCCGGTTGGAGCAGATGAAACGGGCGAGGTTTGAAATATCCTCCTTGTACAACGGTCACAGATATCTCTTGTCTAAAATTGCCAACCTCGCCTCCGTTGCCGTGGCCCAAGAGTCGTGCGAATTCTACGGAGGCTACCTCGCTGAGATCGACGATGAGGACGAACTGCTGTTTGTACAGAACTTTATTAAATCTCCCAAAACTATCGACTACAGGTTGGTTTTAGTTGGGGGAACAGATGAAGGCCACGAGCACCAATGGGTGTTTGACCGCACCGGAAGAAACGTCACCTTCACGAAATGGATACCCGGATACCCACTAATCCAACCCGCTTATAATTGTCTCTACCTGCACGGTGATTATGCCTGGATAATGGTAGATTACCTTTGCTTCGAAACCGCAAGAACCTTCAATTCTAGGTACATGTGCGAGTTACCCGAGCAGTGAAGGAAGCAGTAGATGATATACATTTAACTAAAGAATAACGTTTTAAGGCTTTCTTCAATATCTTGAAACACAAATTTAAAAAAACAAAAAAACAAAACAACAAAAAACAAGCTGAAATAAAATGTTTTTAATTCAATTAGTTGCCTTTCTGTTTTTTTTTATAATGACAATTAACATGATTTTTAAAAAAAAAATGTGTTCAACTCAAATTAAAAATACAATAAATTATTTAATGAAGATGTTTTAAATTCAATTTATTGTTTTTCTAGATCAGTCAAGACTGAGTCTTAAAAAAAAAAATTCGTAATAAAATTAAATTATGTCCCCTTTCTGAGTTTCGCTTCCCACAATGTTGTATTACGAAATTATACTGTAAAGAAATAATGCGTTGGATCTGTAAGTAAGATGTTATTTGATGTTTTTCCCTTAACCATATTGTTTTTTCTTTCAACAAACTGTAAATAAAATTTTTAAAAAATTGTGTTAATCGTACATTAAAAGTGGACATTTACTTAAATAGAAAATATGACGCTAAAGAAAGGAGTGATCTCACTGTCTATAAGAAATTAGCACTTTACTCTTTCCATTTTAAGTTACATGTTGTAGGGTAGCTTATGTCCTTTTTAATATATATATATATATATATATATATCTATCTATCTATCTATCTATCTATCTATCTATCT